GCGCGCGCGCGCGCGCGCGTGCGTTTGGAGCCCTGAGGTCATCATAGGGGATCCCCAGTCCATTTTAACTGATGATGCGAAGGTGTCGGGATCTGGAGCTTTGACTGAGTGCCAAACACTGAGAAAAGCCATGCTTTTTCTGTAGACAGAAATCCACGTTCAAAGGTATGGCCCTCAGAGGTAGCAAAGGCAGAGTCACATGGCAGGAGAAGAGGATCATGAGGGACACTGGTCTTGAAATAGTTAATCTTTTACTTGGAAGGATGTTACATTGGTTCTGTTTCAAGGTATATTTGTAAGAAGATTTGAAAGTATAGGCAAGCAGATTTTAGTTCCTGGGACCATTTTTTAAAATTTGGTCATGGAGTAATGAGCTGTCATATGAGACTATGGGTTATCCTAGACCAGAGATTTTTTTTAAACAGAATGTGATGCCCTTGGGGGACCTGTGGATCAAGCGCCTGGCAGGAGCTGGAGGTAGCTCATCTAAGGTTGCGGGTCCCGAATGTCACACAGTCTCTCTTGCTTTCAAGTGGTGCATCAAAAGGAACCATTATCTGCCATACTATCTGACTTTTATGTAAAGAGAAAACTGCATTTGGGAATTTCCCCTCCCCACTTAACATTTTTTGCTCTTTAAGTAAACGAAGAAAAACATTATTGATAGTGAAACCATGTGAACCCAAACAGGTGGTTTGACTATATGGCTCCTGGGGTGCGTATATCAGCAAGATGAGGCTGGATAGCTTAGTGGTTAAGAACCCTTGCTAGATTCACAGAGGACTCAAGTTCAGTTCCTAATTCCCACATCAGGTGGCTCACAACTGCCTGTAATTCCAGCACCAGGGAATCTGATGCCTCTTTTGGTCTCTGGTGGTAACTGCACTCCCATGCATCTACCCCCCACCCCCACCCCCAGACACAGACACATTATACATGAAGATAAAAGCAATCAAAAGATCAGGATGTTAAATACTGAGTACCATGGATTTCCTAGAACACTAAAACTACAAGAGGATGCAAATGTCATTTCACACTTGAAATGACAAGCAACCTCTTGTATTTGTGAGGTTCAATGCAGACTTGTTAGCAAGCAGATAGAACTGTCCTGTAGATAACATGGGAGGTGGCTCAGTTGGCAAAGTGCTTGCTTTGCAACTATAAGGATTTGAGTCTGAATCCTTCATACCCATGTAAAAAGCTGAGCACAGTGGTGTGTACCTATAATCTTAAGGCTTGGTGGTGGGAAGCAGGGGTTGGGCCAGGGGTAGGGTGAAGATCCCAGAGGCTTGCTGGTCGGACAGACTAGTTGAATTAGTGAGTTCCAGATTCCGTGAGAGACCTGTCTAAAAAGGGAGAGTGATGAGATAGACATTTGTCGTCAACTTCTGGTCTCCAAGTGTGCACGGGTGTTCACCTGCACACACATGTGAACATGTACACAACCACACATGCAGACAAAAGCAAACCAGTCAACCTATGTGGGCAATTTCATGCGATTCAAGATGACAGTTAAAGGCATTTCTAAACAGTTTTCTTTTTAAAGATTTTATTTATTACATGTACAGTGTTCTGCCTGCATGTAAGCTTGCACGCCAGAAGAGGATACCAGATCTCATTTTAGATGGTTGTGAGGCACCATGTGGGACTTGAACACAGGACCTCTGGAAGAGCAGTCAGTGTTCTTAAACTCTGAGACATCTCTCTAGCCCATCTATACAGTTTTAATCACAGGCATATCATTTTGAACTAAACTGTTTTATCATATGCTTGGAAGACTCATTTCACAGCAAGCCGAGTTACATATCAGCATGGTGTCTTCCGAAAGGACTACAAGCTTGTTCCCCAGCAGTCTGCTTTCCATTTGGAAGACGCTGGGCCATCTGAAGTGCAGGTCATTAGGAAGTCAGCGGTAGCTGTCCCAGCAAGGCTGCCCCAGGGTGCAGAGCAAGATAAAATCCAAGCAGGAGGTGAAACCAGGTGGACTCGCTGGGGTAGCGCTTGGGGATGGAGGGGACTATTCCTAAACTGAGGATTTAACAAATTATGATGTCTGCTTCATTGCTTGCTCACATGAAGAGCTAAAGCCTCAATTTAACCGTGGGCAATAGGAGTGTCATCCTGTTGGCACCAACTGTCTCCAGAATGGTGTGGAAATGGGGAGGAGCAAAGGCAAAGATCTGGATCATCTGGCTAGCTACATTCAGCAGCTATCCATGGCCTCAGGTTCCTGTTTTGGACAGTCCTTGAATCTATCCTATATTTTCCACTTGGCCTTTACGTTATCATGCCGGAATGAGATAGCGCTTTGCTTCTCCCTAATTTTCTGCTTTAAAAAACTGTAACTGCTGGTTGTTGGTGGTGTAGGCCTTTAATCCCAGAACCTGGGAGGCAGAGGGAGATGGATCTCTTGATTTCAAGGCCAGTCTGGTCTACCTAGTCAGGGCTACACAGAAAGAGTGTCTCAAAAACAAAACAGAACAACAAAAAATTACATATAGCCATGTATCACTTAGTAAAGGCGACATTAAGAAATATCATTGGGTTATTTTTTGTCAAGCAAACATCATGAAGTGTATGTATACAAGCCTAGATGATATGCACCCTGGCTACAGATGATGGTCACTATATGACCTGTCAAGTCCATGAATAAGGAGACACAGCTCTACGTTGCTGCCTTGAAGCCTGGCTTCTCTTATCTTTCAAGAGACAAGATCATTGACTTGGGCATAGTAACTAATTTCTGGACTACGGTATTAAACAGAGTTGGGCTTATTAGTTATCTTTATTTTTATTTTATATGAATTGGTATTTTTCATGTATATGTTTGTGTAAGGGTATTGGGTCACCTGGAGCTGCAGTTACTGGCAGTTGTGAGCTGCCATGTGGGTGCTGGGTATTGAACCCGGCCCTCTGAAAGAAGTCAGTGCTGAGCCATTTGTCCAGCCCTAGAATTATCTTTTAAAGCCATTTATTTTATGAGTGCTTTGTCTGCATGTATGAATGTGTACCATTGGCACGCCTGGTGCCCTCAGAAGTCAGAAGAGGGAATTGGATCCTATGGAACTAGGGTTACAGATGGTTAGGAGCTGCCATGTGAGTGCTGGGACTCAAACCTGGGTTCTCTAGACTAATGCTCTTAACCATTGAGCCATCTCTCAGTCTCATATTAACATTCTTAATTTAGATCTCATACGCCATAGTCAAAGTGTTCAGAAAGAAAAGAATACCCGCGAGCATCTGTGTGGGCTTCTGTGTGACACCTCATTGTTTTTACAACAGTCATATAGAAAATTTGGGGGTTTGAAGCTATTATCTTCAAAGGGTTGTGAAGAAACCCAAATGAGATCGCAGGGTGATTCCTGAGAGGCACCGACAGGATTATAAATTGTCCAGGGAGAAGCTGGAAATCATTACTGTAACAAAACAAAGCTAGTGTTGAAATTCCTAGAAAAGAGGGTTAAAGAAGTGAGACCTTTGCCCACATCCATTCATCCAGGCTTTTGCTTTGATTTTTAGGGCTTCTCTGTATAGCTTTGGAGCCTGTCCTGGAACTCACAGAGATCCACCTGCCTCTGCCTCCCGAGTGCTGGGACTAAAGGTGTGCACCACCAACACCTGACTTTAAGCCTGCTTCATTGCTGTCTTAGTTAACACACACATTGTAAAGGAATGTTATCTGTTGGTACCTCGTGACAAATTCAATTGTGCTCTTAGCCTTCCAGAGCTTCAACCAGAATCCTTGGTGATTAGTTCCTTTCTGTTTCCAAGTCCCCATGACTTTTCTATCCTGCCTCTTCTTCAGTACAGTGTTACCATGATCCAACAGGAAGCAACATGCAAGAGTGCCGTGGAAATCCCAACAGGCATTTCTCAGGTCACATGTCTGTGCTGGGACCAGTTTGACATGCGCCCACCTTTTGCTGACAAGAGTGTTACTATGCTGCACTTAGCACTTCTGTTCAGGTCAGTCATTTAGAGAAAGGTCTGTTCGGGTAAGTTGCAGAATATAAATTTTCTAAAAAATCGGGGGATTACAAACTCCCTTTATTTTCTTAGAACCTAAAAAATGCATACCCTTCAATTTATGCAAAACAAAAGCACATCATGCAAGGGTAGAGAGGCTTAAGATATTTCAGTGTATTTTATATGCAGTTTAAGCTACTTACCTGATGCTTATGGCATATGGCTATCAAAGACCCATTACATTCTGTATTCTCAAAACATCAGTCTAACAAAAACTTCAACCCAATCCTTCCCCACTGAGGTTAGTCCCATCTCAAGTAACTTTTTGGCCAGCACTAGCAGCCTACTGAGGCAGCCTTGGTCTACAACTCCTTTTGCAGGAGATGCTCCCATGCTCTTGGCACTATAAGAACCTAAGACTTCATGTTTTTGGCTCCATTTCACCTACCAATTTGTCTGGAATGAGAGGTTGTGAATTGCTGCTCTACAGGCTCAACACCCACAATAGACCTGTTTTTTTTTTTTTTGTTTTGTTTTTTTTGATTTTCGAGACAGGGTTTCTCTGTATTGTTTTGGAGCCTGTCCTGGAACTCTCTCTGTAGACCAGGCCGGCCTCAAACTCACAGAGATCCATCTACCTCTGCCTCCTGAGTGCTGGGATTAAAGGTGTGAACCACCAACGCCCGGCTAATAACAAAGTTTCTTGACTCAAAAGGAATTGTGAGAAAAGTTCTGTGTAGAATCATGGGAAAACTGACCAAAGGCTGACCCCACACATCAGATTTCCTCTCAGGAAACTGAACGGTGTAGAACCAGACACTAACAGGGTTGTGTGCTCAAGTGAGTTACTGTAACTGAAGATTTGTATTCCTTACTTAGTCACACTTACATACTATTCAAACATCATAGACTTCTTCAAAGTCCGATTAACACTGACAGTTCATGAGACAAGGGTCTTATGTATGACATTTCATGACTGTGGGATCAAATTATATGCCTTTTATCTTCTATAGTGCAATAAAAACACTGAGACCTTTGTCTTCATTTCTTTATTATGTTTGGACCTTTAAGAAACATATACCATCATATATACCACTATTCAGTAAAAATCTATCCTAGGTTTTAGGAAGCACATACTACAAACTATCTTGTTTCTGGTCTCTAAGACTAATAAGGGCTTATCAAAAAGGTAGGCTGTGATCTATGGAATCTCAAGCCTTGAGGTTTCATCACTGTAAAGTATGTTCAAGTGGATAAACTTCATTCCTGTTTTCTTCTGACTGGGTTATCACTCTGAAGTATGTGGTCCATTCTTAGACCATCCCTTAAGCTCCGTTGTCTATCATGTCTTTGGAAAACCAACATGGTAAAAACGCATTTCTTTACCCCTGTACAGTAAGGATGAATTTCCCAGGACACATCCTGTATCAACTAGAATGAAAAGCACTACAGATAACGTGCACATGCTGTGCTCGCTTTAATGACCTCACACCAGTAACTACTCTACCATGGAGACGTTTCTGCAGCAGTAGTTAGTTTCAGGACATTCTACCCTGTAGGAGAACTCCTGGTATCTGACATTAGAAATAAAAAGGGTAAGTGAACAAACATTCACATGATGTTCTCAAGAGGGCCCTCTCTACAAGGACACAAGATGGACAGGGCTGGGAAGGGTTAAAGCTATGGCTCTGGTGGGCACCCAAGTGAGATGAAGGAAGGCATTTGTAAGAGTAGATTCTGCAGCATCAAAGATAATTCTGGATTATTTCGGTTCTGAGGCTTCACAAGTTGAGAGCTACCAACAGTATCCAAAGGGAAAGGGCCATTTCCAGAAAGCTAAGAAACGTACGGGCCTGACATTAGGCTATGATGTTGATAGTTGGAGAGACTTTGGTGGTATCAATGGAAAAGGAAATAATTAATACACAGACCACATAACACCATTAAAACCAAAAAAAAAAAAAAGCAACTTGTTTTTTCATTTAAAAAAGTTTTAGGACACATAAAACAAGGCAACATTTATTCCTTCTTCTCATCTTCGGGCATGGGGTCTGTGGGTGGTTCCTCTACTGTTGCGCTGTTGCTCTCTGAGCCAGTATTACTATCACTGGTCCCTTCTACCTCCATGCTGTCACCCCCTTCCTGCCCACTCTCCTTGTCCTCAGGAGTAGAAGTGCCTTCTTCACCATTCTGTTGGCTCTCTGTCGTTTCTTCCAGGTGTGTCTCCTCTGTAATCACACATTTGCCATTGTCAGTTCCAAGACAAACATTGACTCTAACTATGCTGATGGCATAAGATGTTCTGTCCAATAAGATAGCCACTAGCCACACATGGAGAAGCACCTGAAATGGACCAGTATGGCCCAGGAATTTTTAAGCATATTTGAGACAACTTAGGGTGCAAGAATGTACATTTTTACCTATAGGTTTATGAAATCTAAATACAAACCAAACACTTAGGAGAACTGAGCTTTTGAAATTATGAAAGTGTACGAAATACACACTGGATTACAAAGATTTGCCATGACAAAAGAATGTAAGACAGTCGAGTGTATGTGGTGGTGGTAGCAGCGGCACACACCGTTAGCCCCCCCCCCTTTTTCCTCCTTAAGTTAGAAGACAGAACCTGAGTAAACACCCTCTGTTGTCAGAGGAAGATAGACCTCATTCAAGGGCAAAACAGACTCAGGACTGAGCACATGATCTTGTTGCAAGATGAGCAAAGAAGCATTCTCTGATTATCAAGCATCTGCTGTAACCACAAAAATGTGCTCCAACCCCAAATTTAGGGTAAAAACAGGTTCACAAAAACAGAAAGAGGCCCAGAAAATGAAGATTAGAACCAGACTTGTCTGAAAAGATAATCTGCTGAGTTAATACTGCATAACCGCCTGCTAGAGGTATTGATGTTCCATTAAACACTGTACAGGCAGTTGCTGTTTGAGTACAAAGTATGTCCATGTCCCTTCTATTTCCTGTAGACTCTGCTGGTATCCCCTAACTACCTCTGGCTTACTACGGTCTATCTACTAGGCAGGGCTAATAGTTGCCAGAAGGTAAGTTGATCTCAAGAATAGCCAAGTTAATTAGCATTTTATGTAAGTTTAACTTCAAAAACAACACACACACAAAAAAAACCCTACCTACCTACCTCTCAAAGCAGACACAAATGGGTATGGTGATCTTCTACTGAAATTTTACTTTTAGAAAGATGGAGGCAAGGTCTGGTTTACAGTTTTTACTTTGCCCTGTGACATCCTAGGACACCAATGACAACAAATCTTGGGGACAATGATCACATCTTATGTAAATGGTAGCCATAAAGGTTCAAATATTGCCAGGTGGTGGTGGTGCACGCATTTAATCCCAGCACTCGGGAGGCAGAGGCAGGCAGATCTCTGTGAGTTCGAGGCCGGGCTGGACCAACAGCCTCCAAAACAATACAGAGAAACCCTGTCTCGTAAAACCAAAAAAAAAAAAGGTTCAAATATTATTGCCTATTAATCTTATGTTAAATCCAGTACCAGAAGGCACTCAGAGGCAGGTGCTTGTTCAAAATAGAAATGAGCTACAAAGCTCAGTAAAGTCACAGTGCCAGCAATGGGGAAATGGATGAGGCCCCTTTCTGTTTGTCTCCAGAGTCACACGTGCCCACCTGGGTACAACCAAGAGTGCAGATAGCAAGACTAAGCCACCATGCTGTCTTGCAGTGCCAGCAACAGCAGCAGAGTGTCTACTTTGGAGAGTGAGACTGGAAAGTCACAGAGATTAACTAAAGGGCGTGACTGCTGCAAAGCATCCAGAAAGGAAGGTCAGAAGCCAGCTGTCAAGGGTCCTCACATGTCCTGGGTACCAAGGAGCTGCTTACCTGTCTCCATAGGGATGCTCTCCTCATCCTTCTTCTCCTCGGCTTTGTTCGCCACTTGCTCTTCCTCAGGGGCGATGCTGCCCTGACTACGTTCGGCTTGCTCTGCTGCCTCCTTCTCCCTCTCCTCTTGCCTTTTGCGGGCCTGTTCCTCAGCCTGTGCAATTTCAGCTGCAATTTTCTCCATGTCTACTTCCACCTTCAGAGTGCATAACTAGTCAAAAACAAAGCAGAGAACTCTTAGCAATATTTCATCTTCGAACCTTAGAATCAGGTAAGTTGTTCCTTGGCTTAATAATGGTATTTCCGCGATGGAGAAAAACAAAGCAGTGTTTCATCCTCAAACTGTACAGGACAAAAAAGCTGCTCTCGTAGCACACCAGACATTGAAGCGCAGGGGCTGTTGGGAGCACTGTCCAGGACTGGGCTAGCTTAGGATGCTTCACTCACACTTCATCTACCAAACACTCCATTCATTCATTCAATTTTAAAGGTTTTTTTTTTTTTTTTTTTTGAGACAGGGTCTCTCTCTGAAGTCCTGGAGCTCAGCTCACTGTGTAGACAGGCTGGCCTTGAACTCACTGAGCTTCTTTTACCTCTACCTGGGGTCAAAGGTGCACAGCACCATCCCCAACTGAACTATATCTAATGAAGACATTTATGAATAAATTACAATAAAGTAAAAATAATTCTGATGATAAAGATTTTAAACAAAAGCATTAGAGGACTGTATCGTCTTTGGGCCTACTCCTTAAATGTATATTTCATGACACCTCAAATTTATTGTAATTTTCCAGAAAATGGGAATAATTTTATAAAGACAGTACAAGTTACACTATGATGTTAGCACTGTTTCAGAGTGACCAACACTAAATAATAACATTACTTTAAGAAAAAACCAAAGCAACAGGCACACAATAAAGATAGTCAATGAATGAGATGGGTACCCTTTTAAGTTCATTGTTAAAGGAATCCGTGCTTTCCAGGAATTTCCTCTTCTTTTCCTGGTGTCGTTCCTCTATCTGAAGAAGTTCAGCTTCTAGTTTTCGCTGCAAGGTATCATCAGATCAGATTATGTACCATTATATATTTTCTCTAAGGCAGATGTAAAGCACACAAAGAATGTCATTTTAGCTGGGCCCTGGTGGCACACGCCTTTAATCCCAGCACTTGGGAGGCAGAGGCAGGCGGATCTCTGTGAGTTGGAGGCCAGCCTGGTCTACAAGAACTAGTTCCAGGACAGCTTCCAAAGCAATACAGAGAAACGCTGTCTCGAAAAACCAAAAAAAAAAAACAAAACAAAAACCCAACAGAATTTAAAATTATTTATGCTTTAAAGTATAATTTTGTATTTTTAATTAAGTGTATGTGGCATATACACAAATGTAGGTGCCCGGGGAGACCAAAAGATGGTGCTGGGTTCCCAGGAGCTGGAGTTATGGGTGGTTGTGAGTCACCTCACACAGGTTCTGGGAACTGAACTCAGGTTCTCTGAAGAGCAGCACATGCCCTTAACCACTAAGCCATCTCTCCAGCCCACTAATTTTGTATTTAAAAAAAAATGATTTAGTATAAAATGTAGCTATTTTAAAAATGTAACACAGGGAGAGACTACCATTAGCAAGATGTTAATGAGTAAATTCTTTGGAAAAATCATTTTATAGTAATAGAGCAAAGGCTGATGGGGTGTCCCAAAATTCTTCAGTTTGCACCCATCTTTAAAAAGATATACTTTGCCACTACAATGTTCTATTACCGTTTTCAATGACAAACTTACTAAACTTCTTTCTGAAATGGCCCTCTCCCTTCAGCTTCTTTCTCAAATCAGGCACAGCTTCCTTTTATTATAATGAATGCTTCTTCTGCTCTTACCTGATGAACCATTAAAGACTGGACCTGTCTCTTGAGGACCTGCATTCTAGCTGTTGTGACAACCGACCGCACATCAGGTACCACGCTTTCACTGAGGATCTCACTGATGAGGCGGTGGTTTCTCTGGAAACGGGCAGTGGCTGTATGCTTCATTGAAAAGCCATCATCATAATCTGGAATGAAGGAAATGTTCTAGAAATTAGGTGGCTAGTAACCAGAACAATGTTAACAAGCAGTATAAAGTGTGGCCTTCAATGTCCTAGCAAGTGGACTTGCTTAGTATCAGGGGAGTCAGGGCAGGCCACAGTAAGAACAACACAGAGACAAGACACAGCCAGCTGAAATGCTGTCTCCATAAAGCTATAAGACAGGGGTTCACAACCCCAGGGTGGGTAACTGAATGACCCTTTCACAGAGGTTGCATATCAGATATCTACATTGTGATTCATAACAGTAGCAAAATTAGTTATGAAGTAGCAACAAAAATAATTTTATGGTTGGAGGTCACAACATGAGGAACTGTATTAATAAAGGGCTGCAGCATTAGGAAGATTGAGAACCACTGTACTATAAGGGATGATTCGTGTCTGAGGTTTGGTTAAAACACAAACAACATATGTTCATATCTCCTTTAGCCCTGGGATCCATGTAAAGCCTGCATGTGATGACAGTATTTGAAATTCTGCCAAATGTTCCACTCTCCCAGTAATGATTGAAGGCATTTGATAAACGCTGAACTGTAAACAGGTGGTATCTTTATCACAGCTGTTAAAATTAATGAAAATATCTACCTGTAAAACTAGCTTCTCTAGTATTTACTTTTCTAGGCAGTTTATTACATTAAAAATGGTAAAGACCTAAACTAATGTTATAGAAAAAACAACAATTTGATTTCAAGGCTAAGAGAGAACTCAATTGATAAAAGGGTTTACCAGGCAAGCACGAGGATCTAAATCTGGATCCCAGCCAGCATCAAGGAAACGCTGGTTGTGGCAGATTCAGAAGGCTCTGGCTAAAACAGCAAGTTCTAGGTTCAGAGAAACTATCTCAAAATAAGGCAGAGAAAAAACTGAAGAAGCAATCTGGATGTACCCTCCAACTTCCACATGTGCCTGCACAGGGAAGTGCAAACACACCATACCCTACTGTATCACAAAAAGGTGGAGCCTGAGGAAGATATTCAACACACACACACACACACACACACACACACACACACACACACACGAATACACTACACACAGAGATACTGGAGTCTAAATTTATAAACATGCACATGGCTGTTATTAGGTACATAGAGTACACATTTGTGTTATTTTGGTGTGTGTGATGCATACATGCCTGTTTCAGCCTACTGGGCCATCTCTTGAGGCCCAGGGTGTGTGATTTTTTTTTTTTTTGACACAAAATTTACTTCGTAGCCCAGGCTGGCTTTGAACTCGCATTAGCCTCCCCGCCTTAGTTTCTCAAGCGCTGTGATAACAAGTGTGTACTACCATACCCAGCATGTATACTTATTTCTAGTAACAGAAATGTTTCCTTTTATCTTGCTTATCACCTTCACATACCTAATAGCCATCTGTACTAATATCTACTTAATATTTTTCTTTACATTAACTCATTAAACAAAGCAAGTTTTCCTTCCAATATAGATAGAAATAAAGGTTGTCACGGAACCAACCACCCAATCCTCTTAGTGTCTCAGAGAGGTAACAGGTACCACACTTAAGGAACCTAGTTACACAGAGGCCTGCACGCTGCACATAATGGTCTCTGAAGACCTTCACCATTTTGGTGAATCAAGGTCCGTCTTGTGGACCTACTGACAGTTCTCTAAGAAGTCAGCAGATGCTGCCCTTCTCTTGATAAGTGGCTCCCATCTCTTGCTTTTCTGTACATTTCTACTTCTCAAGTCCTAGAACAGTGGTTCTCAACCTATGGGTCTTGACTCCCTGTGTGTGTGTGTGTGTGTGTGTGTGTGTGTGTCAAAGAACCCTTTCACAGGGTCACATATCAGATGTCCTGCATATCAGATATTTACATTACAATTCATAACAATGTCAAAACTACAGTTATGATGTAGCAATGAAATAATTTTATGGTTGGGGGTTACCATATGAACTGTATTAAAGGGCCGAAGTATTAGAAAGGTTGAGAACTACTGTCCTAGAGGGCCATATTCTATCAATATAGCTTAATTATTATATTCCATCTTACTGCTCATGTAAGAGCATCCCAAACTTAGTTCCTTCTGTTATATTTTGCTTAGGAAATATTTTATTTTCTATATATGGCTTCGATGTTGCCAACCTTTGTTTCTACTATATAGATCTCCATTCTCCCCGTTACTTGCAGACTTGCTCTTTTATTGTTTTAGTCATGCCTTTTTTACATCAACCATTTCATCTGGGTAATTAAAGTCCACATATGTATCTTTAGCAGTGTGAATGCTTAACACTCAATTCCTGTATCTAGTCCACATTCTTTTTTAAAGATTTATTATTTATTATTCTGCCTGCATTCCCGAAGAGGGTACCAGATCTCATTATTATAGGTGGTTGTGAACCACCATGTGGGTGCTGGGAGTTGAACCCTGGTCCTCTGGAATAACAGCCAGGGTTCTTAACCCCTGAGTCATCTCTCCAGCCCTCTAGTCCACATTTTATTACACGCTACTGCATTTATGAGAACTTTTGCCAGTAACTCCAATGAATTCTTTTGACGCTCATTTCTGATTCTTCCTCTTACTTAGCTGGATTTACTCCTGTCTTTTGGTGCCATTATAACCTCCTCCACTCTTGAAGTCTTTTAAAAGCTCTGAAGAACTCCCTCTGGTGTGTTTAAAGTGGGATCTTAAATTACGATCTTGGTGTTTTTGTGGATGGTAGTTGCTGCTTCCAATCCTGTCCACCACTCAGAAGGACACAGAGACAGGTAAACATTTACACAGCAGTCTACATATGTGGATGAACATGATCCTAAAGGGAGACAGCTATCTAGGGTGGGGAGGGGAAGGGCCTTGAGGCTGAAGACTGCATGGCTGGGAGGCCAGGAGAGTAATCTGCATATATCTGCACATGGAATCCTAATTAGGAAGCCTGTCCATCTGTGAGTAATGTGTAATGTCTGATACCCTGACTACATGTAATATATGACAGGCAGACATTCATGAGTGGTATTCTCAAATTCACATTGGATTTTTAATTAAGTTTTTATATTGCTTCCACACACTCATTAATTTTTGCACCTAAGAGTCTTTTTTTTTTTTTTTTTTTTTTTTTTTGGTTTTTACAAAACAGGGTTTCTCTGTATTGTTTTGGAGGCTGTCAGTCCAGCCCGGCCTTGAACTCACAGAGATCCGCCTGCGTCTGCCTCCCGAGTGCTGGGATTAAAGGCGTGCGCCACCACCGCCCGGCGCACCTAAGAGTCTTTAATTCAGCAAATTTAGGTAATCTGTAAGAATGGATATGGCAATTAAGAGCATGTACAGCTCTTCTAAAGGACCAGAGTTCAATTCCAAGCACACAGGTTGGGCAGCTCACGACCCTCTGTAACTCCAGCTCCAGAGGATTTGACACCCTTTCTGGCCTGCTCAGGTGCTACACTCACATGTACAAACCTATAAGTGGTGGCGCACGCCTTTAATCCCAGCACTCAGGAGGCAGAGGCAGGCGGATCTCTGTGACTTCGAGGCCAGTCTGGTCTACAAGAGTTAGTTCCAGGACAGCCTCCAAAGCTAGAGAAACCCTGTCTCAAAAAACCAAAACCAACCCCCTCCCCAAAATAACCTATAGGCTTGCTACACACATAAAACAAACTAATAAAAAGACTATAATGTTGCTTAGGGTGTGTCAGCAGAAGCCTATAATGTAGGATTTGGAGGCTGAGGGTGGAGAATCAGTTCAAGGCAAATCTGGGTAACACAGTGAGACCCTGTCTTGAAAAACAAACAAATCCTATTTTCTGTGTACAAAGACTTTGAAAAGTAATAAATACAGCTTTTCTCCCCTTAATCGTTTTACATACTTTTAAAGAGTATTTTTCTCATGAGAAAGTCATATACAAAAAAATCCTATTATTGAAATAACTTAAAATTACACTTTTCCATTTAAAATAAAAGCCTTGAATTAAGATTTATCTTCTATTTTAATTCAGAGAGAATGCACATAGAAAAGCACACTCCCCCCTTACCATCTGGATCCTCAGCAGGCTGAATGCTCATATAAGGTTCTCCTTTCTCCATGCGAGACTGTCTCTGTCGACTCTCTTCTTCTAAAGCAGCTTCTGCACGACTTTTTGCATTAATATATGCAAGGTATGCAGGGGAATTATGATAGGCCTTCATAGATTCATTATACTCTATCTGAAATTGAAAGGGCACTGGTTTTATAATTCGCATCCTACAGGCTCCATGTGTGCCTGCATCTGCCATCTGAATGTCAGGGGCATGAGGCAAAGCATGGGTGGGGAACCGAGACCACGAGGTCCAGACCTCAGGTGAGTGGAGCTTGGTGGACAGACTTCCATGCTGCCTCAGCCTTGTGTTTCTCTCATAAACAATGAAATATTTTATCTTTACCCCCTACCTTCTCTGCTTCGTATTCGTTTAAATATTCTTGTTTCTCTTCATCAGTGAGATCTCGCCACATGCCACCAATAATCTTGCCAATTTCCCACAACTTTAGGTCAGGGTTGGAAGCCTTTACTTGGTCCCAGACCTTAAAAGTCAAGAGTTGAAAACTAAGTATTAATGCCTAAGTATATAATCATTTAAAAATACTCTACTATGGAAACCTAGTATGTACCAATCAGCCTGCTTTAAAACTGCCAAGGGCTGGCTTATCTCATTTCATCTTTACCCTGCTAGATCTCATACACCATGTCATTTTACCCAAATGATCAAACAGATCATTTAGGAACATTAATCACAGTACACATTTACAGCAAACTGACCAATTAAGACTATCTCTAACAATTAGTGTGAATTTAGAAATAGTTAATTTGTATAATACAATGGCATCATACTATCAAACATATATGTAATAATTATGATCAAATAATATTTTAAATTTATTTATTAATTCATTTTGTGCTCTTAGAATTGATTCTAAGGGCTCTAACATGTAGGCAAATGTTTTACTATTGAACCACATCCCAGACATTATTATTTTTACTAAAAATAAGATATCAATATATACAGTCTTATATTTGCTTTTCTACTTAACATTTTCCTCATGTTTTTCAATATTCTCCAAAAGATATTAATATTACTTTCATGGCTCCAGACTAATCTGATTAATAGATTTCAGCATTTTATTCAACTATGCTCCTCTTGGATCCAAGTTCTGGAATTCTGAAATCAGAATGAACCACTTAAAAAAATTACAAGTTTTTAAATCCTTTCCCCAAATATGTATAAGGAAGACATCAAGCCAGTCTGAAATGGCACGGAAGGCCAGTCAGCAGGGCTGGGGTCCTCGCCAGGTCCTGGTCCCTGGTACACACCTTTCTGCTGTACCTCATGTAGGGCATCAGCGGCTTATCTGGTGGCTTTGGAGGCTTTGGAATCGTAATACCAGAGGATGCCTGTAAAAGAGTTAAATACATCCATTACCCAGTTGTAAGGAGTTCACTAGTCCCTGAAAAGAAAGTCCCTCAAAAATTCTCATGCGCCTTTCTTCTACTCGTCCATGGATACAAGATTCTTATATTTTCTCCAAAGAAAATAGACATCACTGCAAATTCAGAAATGTTTATATCAAAAGAAAATGATTTTAAACAAATAATATTTAATGTTTTACTTAGCAGTTTATTTCCACTGTTTGACAACCTGGCTGCAAGAATAAAATATTATATATAACCACACACTGAAAATGGTGTTATATGCCAAATGCCTCACATTTAGGACATTACCTGGTGTCCTTTTATTTACTCAGTTACTATTATGCATACAGTCAACATTCGGTATCTGTAGACTCTGAGCACTTAGCACTTACCACACACACACTGCCTATAGGGGATCCTGTTATCATGTCAGGAATGTACCCCATCCAAACAACACAAAGGCTACCTCCCAGGTTTAAAAAAAAATCACCAATAAGAAACAGGAGGTAACTAGAAATCTAGCAAATATATTTAAAAAGAAAATATGTCCTTTAGAAATAGACTTATTTTTTTAAGTTTTTACATTATCTCATAGGTTTCTATCTTTGTAGTTTTGGGGCAGTGGTTTTCTTACAGTGGCTCAAGATGTGCGAACTCAAATCATACTGTTCTTGTCCTCATCAGACTGTCACATAGAAATAAAGAAGCCTGTTAGGCGCTGAACACTGGCAGACCCTAGCTGGGCCCCGCTAACATTGCTTCTGAGGCCCATTCCACAACACTGCTTTTGTGGGAAAGAAATGAGGACAAGAAAAGACAAGACACAGAAAAAGGAAAATACAAGAAAAAGGAATTAAAATATTTTCAAAAGGGCAGTAAGGAAGTCGGTGAGAGAAAAACTAAAGGAGGAAGCAACCAGAGTGTTAAGTGATTGGTTCTGTCTATGTGAGGTGATACAGGCAAGGAGCCACCAGGTGACTTCTGGCAAATGCCCCATATAGAGCTGCCATTCCAAGGACACCTAGTTCTGAACTTGATGAGGGAGCCAGAATAAGAAGTAAGAGTCCTACATGGCTAACCTTATTCATGGAAAGTCTGCTTCTCAACACAGAATGTGATTAGAAAACATTTTAAACCCAGACCCCAAACAAACTTTTGGAACACAAAGTGGGTTACAAATAAAAAAAAAAAAGGATAAAGTTGTGTCCATATTTGAAGGTACCAAATTATCGTAACAGGTAAAAATTCTAACGTGTTCACTTTACAAACTTTAAGTATGAATTAAAACAGTTAAAAATGTTTAGTTATATTTGCTCATATCTTCCAAAGAATCACATTTTAAAATATTAATAGATTTTCTAATTCACCTCCTTTCCCAAAGAAAGGTACCCCCCAAAAAATTACAAATAAAAAAACAAAACAAAACAACAACACAAAACAACACTTCCTCCATTTTTAAGAATAATAAAGTGAAATTCCAGTAGGTTTGGGATCATCACACATCACTAACTCGCTTAACATCTCAGGATGCCTTTCTAAATGTTCCAGACATTTGTCTACTCTGCCCTGAGCACACTATCTCACCCTTTCTTGGTAGGAGTCACCTAGGAACAACCACTGTGTGCTGTGCTGTGATCCAGAATGAAAAAATGCAATCGGCTCTTTGGCTAAGTGGCCTAGGAGCACAATTTTGGAGAGTCCAACTTTGCTTTTTCAATGAGGACCTTTTCTTGTTGCTATCAGAAATTCCAACTGCAGCACCAATCCCCCATCTTTACAATTTCTCTCTTCCCATTTGCAATGAATTGGAGGTGGGGAAGCAAATACTTAATGCTTGTTAAAACTGTTCTTATCTAGGTCCTAGTCAATCTGTGGATAAAGTGCATGATTTTGTGATCGAGTCATCTTGGACAGCACAAGAGAATTTTTTGTTGTTTTTCAATTCTTAGCTGTTTCTCTGGTAAGGTCTTATTTAAGGCTTTTCTTCTGGAGACAGGATTTCTACCAGCAAGAGGTAGGCTGCTTTTAACACTCTGTCTCAATTTGTTTTTGAACCTGTATACTGGAGAATGGGAACCATCATCTGAACAAAGTGATCAGGCGTGGGCTGCACTCAAAGCCATCCTAAGCCCTCCAAAGGTCTCAATCTGGTACCTAAGTGCTTTATTATCTGAAAACAACTCACATGTAACAAAGCTCTTGCTTGGGGTTCACAGAAAATCATTCCAGTAAATCACTATGGCTATTTATAGACAACAATTTACTAAACAAAGTAGTTCATCATTGGGGCCATTCTCTACCAATACTTTTTATGAGCAACTGAGTCCCAAAACAGAAAGTCAGGGACATGAGAGAATGCAAGCCCCTAGGTTTCTAGCAATTTGATCACATCAGTCTGGTGGTAGTAATACAAAAGGACAATAATACAGAGGAAACAACTACAAAGAAGGCAAACACCACACTTCTCACTCCTAACCCACTCCCCACACTGAAGATTAGAGCCCATTCCCCTACACTGAAGGTTAGAGCCCACTCCCCTACACAGAAGGTTAGAGCCCATTCCCCTACACTGAAGGTTAGAGCCCACTCCCCTACACTGAAGGTTAGAGCCCATTCCCCTACACTGAAGGTTAGAGCCCACTCCCCGACACTGAAGGTTAGAGCCCACTCCCCTACACTGAAGGTTAGAGCCCACTCCCCTACACTGAAGGCTAGAGAGCTCACTCTGCATTCTGAGTTCTTCTGTTCCCCAGAAGGGAAAGGGTTAAAGATACATGTCCAGCTTAGACCCAGAAAGGAGTGCATTCTCCTTTTTCTAGTAAGGTTTCTACTGAATGACCTTACTTTGTACCAACAGAGAAGCCTCACAAACCCCAAACCAAGCTGTTCTAGGATTAGTGACTACTCCTGTTCCATTAGCATGGCTACCAAGAGCTTACTGTATGGAGCTTTTCAGAACCATTATTTTTACTTACTACCTATAAAAAATTTCTGCATGAACACAAAGACCCAAAACTAACTCTGCTTACTATGTGAATTATAATGATCTTTTTCATCTAATAACCTTGCCACTCATTACACTTGTGAAACAACACATTCAGGCTAGGGAAAAACATGTACTGCTTGCTGCACATAGAAACTATGAATGCACACATAAACATATTTTGTCAGAATCCTTTTCAGATACTGTGGAATACGTATGGCACATAGAACTTGATATGCTTATGAAGTACAGATTATGCGGAAACAATGAAAAATTTAGACAAACAAAACCTATCAAGCTAAGCAATGTGCTTATCAAGATAGACACATGGTTTGATAGTGACGGGTTTTCAGCTATAGCGTTACTACAGGGTGAGAGGGTTTTTTGTTTGTTTGTTTGTTTGTTTTGAGTTACATTTCTTTTTTATGAACACAGCAAATGAAAACCAGACACTAAAAAGTTTACAGCCATTCTGTCTCATATATATTCTCACCAACACCACATTCTAATGGAGGTTATTTGACTTTTGGATTTATTACCTTAATTTCCTTGGAGTTTGAAATAATTTAAAAATAAAAGCTTTGAAGTATATCATCCAGTTTTGATTATCTTAGTTGGATTACCTAAATGAAACATCCCAACTTTTAGGAATCATCTTTCTCATAACAATTCTCGGTGTACTTATCTAACACCTAGAATTAATTCCATTCAAGTTTTATCCTGAAATTTCTTGAGTGACAGTAAAATCTTTTTTCTGTATTAAGCTGGAAAGAAATGAGCCTGAGACAGGCCAATTGCTAAATCCAAAAGACAAATAACTAAAGTGTAGAAGTTTAGATGGGCGGGTCTGCCCAAAGCTTTCTAGTCCAGATGAAGTCAGATCTAGAGTCCCAGCATTCCTTAAGAAACTACATCCTTGAGAGTAACGCCAATTACCTTAAACAACGAAAGATACTCTTCATGACATAAAATATTTTAACCAAAAGAACTCTAGATTTGTTTACATATATAATATGAGCATTAAGTGTTAAGGCCTATTCCCTACTGATGACCAAACAGAATGGATTTCTTTTCTTCCAAGTACATATCCAGACTGCACTTTTTTTTTTCAGTGCAAGACTGTACAAAACAGTTGAAAAGTCAGTTTAAATTTTTTTAAATGGCTGTGCTGCTGATTCAAAAGGACCTAACTCTGGAGGCATTTCTGGTCAATTCCAGTTGTTTGCCGGAGGCTGTAATAGTTGATTCTCCTACCGTGACCCGGCTGTTGGTGCCCGGGTTCCCTCCCAGCCTGTAGTTGTTGTAGGCGAGATGACTGTATGGATTGTATCCCACAAACCCTGGTGTGCTGGGCATTTGCTGATGGAAACAAATGAGACAAAAACACGAATGAGAAATGAGCTCAAACGAGGAAAACACAGAAATGAAAAATGATCTGCATATGGCATGCAAAAGCAACCTGAATTTAAACAAGCAATGATGTGTTGTAACTGTTCTTTTTAATAGAGAAACCAGCCTGCAAGTATGTATGTGCATGCATGTGCGTGTGAGTTCCTGTATTTCTTCTCTTTCCCTCTTTTCCTTGGTGGATTAGGGTTAGGGATGCTTGTAAGACTGAGTGTGTTGTGTTTTGTGTCTGAGGAAAGCATCATACTGCAGTTTCAAACATCTATAACTATTTCATGGTCAACAGTAATGAGATAACAATTTGTCTGGGATGGGAAAGCTTCAAGTATGGTAAACTTTAAGTCTGAAAACACTACATGCAAACGAAACATGGTTTATTGGACAGTTATGTAGATGCCACCAATGCACTCATTTACTAAAAACAAAAACAAGAAATGGATCTGCTTTCAAAGACAGCTTTAAATAATTTTATATGTGACAAATGAGAAGAGACTCAAATCAGGAAACCAGGAATTGTCAATAGGAAAGAACATATGCTGGGTTCAATGGATGTCACATGCATGATTTCAAAACAAGGACTTGTAAGAAATGCATAGAATTCATACTGGGTACTATCTGATCTTTAACCCAGTCATTCTTTCATAGGCTTTCTCTTCCATCTCTTCTTTGGTCCATCTTCCATAGGTAATCATGAACAGTTTATGCATTTAATTTTAGTGGGAACTACTTTTTTTAGTTGACAGAGTTGAACTTCTTTCTCATCTGATTTCCTGAAGGCTCTCAGCCTTTCCAAATACAACTGCTGGCTGCAGCGACAAAATTCTTGATTTTTGTGAATTATGTGTTCATATAATCACAAATGGGTTCCTATGTAATTGTGGCCTTGTGGTTAATACAATGACATCCAATGTTCATAAAATCAAGGCATAATGTATAAAAAGAATGTAGTAAAGAGACCAAAGTGTATAGTTTACTTAGTAAAACTCAATCATAACAAGTGATAGCAGTGTCATTTTTACATGCAATTAACATAGCCCTACTGAATTCTACAAAAGTACACTTGACACATCCCCACTAAACTTCAGTTGTCACAATTAAATGCCATTTCCTAAAACATGCCCTTGTACACATCCTTAGTATCCAAAGACATTCAAGCAGGCAGTACATGTGACACTTTTTAGAGGAGAACAAAGTGATTAATTATAGCCCACAGTTAGAAAAGACGCACATTAGGCATATTTAAGTAGCAAAACACAGATGAAGAGTAAAGGCACAAAAGGAGTGCATATTACACAGTGGCTCATCTGAGTGGTGGCTGTGGAAGGGGTGGGTGGCGGTGATGGTGGTAAAAGCAATGGATAAAAAAAGGGAGAGAGACTAACTCATTTCGTATCCACTCTGCTAGATGTTATAATCCCTAGTTTCCGGATTTTGTGTGAAAATGTGAAATTATGGTATGAGGGATTAAAAAAATCCCCTTCTTTGTATGAAAACTCAGAAGGAGATCCTGGTTTTTAAAATATCTTTATCTCAACAGCAAATTTGTTCATTATACACTACTGGAGGCAGTATTTATGTAAAAATGATACCTCCAGACACTATATAACAAATGAGTCACAGGTTCAATATGAAGCAATAATGTAAGCAAATGGGAGAATTAAAAAAATGAAACTATCATATTGTAATTATACCATTTCTAAAGGTAAGAGGCCTAGTTATACTTGAGGGGTGGCTCTTAGTCACTCAACTCAATCTGTACACAACCATGAGTATGTGATGGAGTTGGTGGTAAGAAATATTCTTTAAGAAAGAAAATAATGAAGCACAAGATTTTACAGTCTATGGAAGCATTTTAAAGACTGTATATTACATGAAGTGAATGTAAGAATGTATGATATACTTTTTTAAATGAGCATGTAAGGAAAAACAAATTGCTGATAAATGTAACTAAAACATTCACCTACAGGTTAGTAAATCAGACTAAGTACCTAGTGGAGAAAACAAATGACACAGGAACTCATTAGTAATAAAAGGAGACTAGCCTGAAATTAGTTGGTAGAGGGCATGGGAGGAATAGCTAGCGGATATTAAAGAACTAATTTTGGGCTGGGCATGCTGATAATCCCAGCACTTGGGAGGCCGAGGCAGAAGGATCACCATTTCGAAGCCAGCCTGGGCTACATAGAGATCCTGTCTCAAAACAAAACAAAATAAATAAAAAATAACCCTAACTCTGATTTTGAGTGGTTTTTAGCATCTCAACAAGGGCTTGTACAGTTGCTGTTAAGTCTGAATTGTGGCCTGGACGATTATTTTACATGCTGATCAAGCTAGGCTAGAGCTTGCTGGGTAAAAACAGTTCCCACCATTAGACAGTTGGAAACAGATCAGTCAGCCAATCATTATAATTTATGGAGAACAAAATTCAGTACCAAGTTCTGACCCACGGGCAATGAAATCCTAACTTGAACAGCTTGAAAATAAGATTTATGATGAGTGTAGTTGTCTTCAGAACTAGAAACTTTAATTAATGTGAAAATTTTATATACAGACAAGAAAGTTTAATTTAAAAATCTGTGTTGTTGGGGTTCCAACCTGGGCCTTGCACATGCTAGGCAAGCGCTCTGACACTCAGCTATGTCCCTAGCCCTTAGAGAGAAAAATGTAACCAGCTGAAGGTTAGGTTTAAAAACAACAACAGAAGAAGAAGAAGAAATAATGCCAGAATGAGCATTTACTCAATCAACTTAAAAGACTCTTTAACAGGGAAAACAAGAAATAAGTGTTTCACTCATTTCCCATTAGGGAAACACAGAGCACAGGAGGTTGGAAATTCATAGTATGTATTTTTAGATGTTGGGTTTGGTTCAAGGTAGGATGAAAAGAATTATTTTATTTAGTAGGAAGTGCTGATTTTTAGCTGAATTCTCTATCTTGTGGCTGTGATGACTGAGTGACTGTCACTGGAAGACATCTGGGTTTTTGTATCAAGGCCAGACTTGGCTATTACATTAACAAGAAAATTAAAACTTACTGTTGCAGGAGCTGGGGTGGGAGGTGGGGCATAAGATGGTCTTTCTGTTTGAAAGAAAATAAATAACTTCTTGTAAACAACTGAGATATAATACTATGCAACAAAACTACCAATGGTCCTGTTTTGAAGAAAAAAAAATGAGAGTATTTTTGGAATTCCCATTCGCTAGGGCATTAGTCTCGTTATTAACACAGATTGATAAATATAAAAATTGAAACTTACTTGACATTTTGGAAGATTAAGTTCTCAGTTCCTTAAGAATGAATCTGAGACACTAAAATAAAAAAAAGGAAAAAAAAGAAAAAAAAAGAGAATCAAAACTCAGCAAGCATAAGAGAATGTTTTCCTAAAGAATAGGGTAGTTTGATTGGTATTTCTGAGCAAAATTACTTTACTGTTAATCACTAGTAATCAAGCCTTTTGCATATTTTTTAACTAGTTCTTGTAGTATTTGATTGATCAGAATTAAATGATGAAAATAAGTTACTGGGAAATTTAGAGTTATATTAGAGATGGATTTTTAAGTTTTTGCTTATGATATTGAGTCACGTCTTGTATGGAAAACATTTTGCTGATGCCATGCAAACGTTTACTTAGACTGGTAAAAAAAAATAATGACAATAGAATGTGATGTATTATCAGGGTGACCCCAACAAGGCCTACCAGATACTGACAAATCCCTGATCAGCAGCTCTGCTTCTTTTAGCGGACATTGTTTATTGAAGCAGAGCAATGTCCTATTCCTGGAAGCAGTGTGAAAGAAAATTTAGTATAACAACGAACTTTACAGTCTTTTATTGGTAAATAGTTTCATAAGTACTGGGACAAATTTTTGAGTCTACTTGGATGACTCTTATTGGTTCTTTACAGCCCATTTTAGAAACTGTCCCAGGTACTTTCTTATTAAATTATCTGGGCAGATTAACTTCATCTTCTCTGTATTCCTATCTGGTCACAAAGACCAACGGCATTTCCCTTACACAACATGCCAACATGGCCAGGTTTTGTCTGGAAAGAGAGGTGGGATGGTCTAATTTATTACTGTATTGCTCAAACCTAGATCAAGTCTTCATAAATTTGTGAGCTCACTCCTTACTCTACATACACCACAAATGGTAATGAACATACTATGACTTCTGGAGCATTTTCATTCAACACTATGTAAAGCAATACTTTTTTTTCTTCTACTTTTCATTCTAAGAAAATGCCTCAAATCATTAGGGCAAGAGTTCTGATGTGGAAACAGCTCAGGTTTCCAACCCAGGCCTCTCTTTTCTTTCCATCAACACCTAGTAGGCCTTGCTGTGGGGAGCCCCGACAGAAACTGTAACAATGTCCCTGCTACCTTACACTCCACTGCTAATATGTTCAAATGATTGCTCTCTTAAGAGTGGATCTGACCCTAATGCCTAGCACGGAACTCAGCATTCGCTGAATAATTACCTTACAAGGTAGGCTTATTACACGGTCTTGCTCACTACTCACAACGACCCTACCAGATACAGACGGCTGTCCCCATTTTACAAATGAAGAAACAGTCTCAGGGCGATTACGATAAAATGTCTAAAGCCAGAGGTGGATTTAAACCCAACCCACACCGTCCCAGAGTTCACTCTTCACTCCAGGCCACCCCGGGAGTCTTTAGGTCGCTGCCTGAACCAAAAGGGGAACCACCTTCCAGGTGGGTGAGGAACCCCGCTGGCCTTGCCCCGAGGGCTTCCGGAGGTCCTCTGAGTTTGTGGCCGAGGACGAGCTTTTCTGGCAACCCCCCCGCGAGGGGGGGTGTGCATCGGAGCTCGGCCAGCGTCCTGGGTCCAGCGTAAAGGGACAAGTGGCGCCTCCGAGCAGCTGTCCCGGATGGGGCTTTTTTGCGACCCCGCCGCCGCTAGGCCTCACAGAGGCCGCACCGGCCCTAGTTCCCGCCTCGGAGCTCAGCCCGATCCCCAGCACCCCGCGGGAACTCGGGGTCCCGCCAAGTCGAAACACCACAGCTCGCCACCCTCCTCGACCGGGTTGGGCCCACTTGGAAACACTCACCCGCGGGCCGAAAAGGCGCCCGCAGCTCCGGCTTCGCTTCCCTTTGTCCCGCGCTCGCCCCGCCCCTCGCGCCGGAGCTTCCGCGCTCGCACTTTCCACACGCTCCGGGATTTCTCTGCAGGCCGCGGCCGGCTCTCCTCAGACGAACGGGCCTTCCAGGGAGGACGCGGCGAGGCTTAGTGCAGCCGAGATTTTTTTCCAGGCTCCACACTTGCCTCAGCCTTCTTCCAGTCTGGATCCTGTCCCAGCCGGGAGCCGATTCGTCACGGCGAGGAGGGCGGAGTAGGCCCGGCCGCGTTGCGGGCCTGGTTCGCGGCCGGGCGGCAGCAACTGCACCGAGAGCGCCGCGGGGATTCTCCGGGGCGGTGGGTGCCGCCGTGTGAGACCCGCGCCGGGCGAAGGCACGCCGGAGCCTCTCCCGGGAGAGGGCGGGACGCAGCTCCCGCACCCCGGCGTTTCCCTTCGCTGTGGTCCTCTGTACGCCGCTGCAGGATGGAGGATGGAGGCGGGGAGGACTCGGGTCGCCGCGATTAGGTCCTCGCTGGCGCCCAGCAGGGCTCCCTGCCTCAACAGCCTCAGCGAAAAGCAACACGGGAGTTTTGTAGTTTTCCAGATACTTCTAGAGACTGAGTGATAGCGACGGGTTTCAGAGCTTAGGGTCCGCAGCTGTCAGCTCACTCTCAGCAGGTCGCATACCTATGACAATTTACATTTCTTTCCAGGAGAACCAATTCATCTTAGCCTGTCTTCAGATAGCCAGCTTTACTGTTTTCTTCGTGATGCCCTTCTGGAACTTTCCCAGGCCAATCCTTTCTTTGACTGTTAGTAGTCCTGTGTCTAGATACCCTCTGTATGGGACTGGACCATCTGTAATCTCGGAAAGTCTTGGAAACAAAGGCTCAGACATCTGGACGGGACAATTTTATAATCACCCATGGTTTCTAAGGGCCAGTCTTGTAATTATGTGCTCAGTGTGTGTAGAGGCACCTTTCTGGACCATCCCAAGGGTCTTTTTTTTACTAATTCCAAGCACTTGGGCGGACCATAGAAAGTATTGAAACACCTAGTTGATGTGAGTCAGGGTGGAGGACAAAGGAACAGTTATCTAACGACAAAGTTATCACTTAGAGAAACCTGCTAGCCCTTATCCTGGTTGTGACAACAGGAAATGAGGAATCTTTAGAAGTTTGTAGTGCCAGATTAAGTGATAATATTGTCCCGTTCTTCCATCGCACAATATTTTTATACTCATGAGTAGAAATTAAGGAAATGAAAGAGCACATTGAAAGGAAAGACTAAAGGAGAGTTTGTCAGATGAATGGTCACAGCAGGGATCTAGGATTCTCCTTAGCACTGCTCAGCAAGTCCAGCCTTGCTACTTCCCTGCTTTGGCGGTTGTGGGGTGGAGTGATAGAAAAGGAGGGGACAGTAGGCACCGTGTGTGTGTGTGTGTGTGTGTGTGTGTGTGTGTGTGTGTGTGTGTGTGTGTATGGTGATACTTTGTGCTTTAACAAATAAAGCTTGCCTGAAGATCGGAGGGTGGAGCTAGCCATTAGTTAACCATCGAGGCCAGCCAGGCAGTGGTGATATACACCTTTAATCCCAGAATTTGGGAGGTGGAAGCAGGAAGATCTGGATTTCAAGTCCACACTGGGCTACACGAGATTTAACCAGTCTAAAAGAGAAACAGAGGCCGGGCGGTGGTGGTGCACGCCTTTAATCCCAGCACTTGGGAGGCAGAGGCAGGAGGATCTTTGTGAGTTCGAGGCCAGCCTGGTCTACAGAGCTAGTTCCAGGACAGCCTCCAAAACAATACAGAGAAACCCTGTCTCGGGAAACAACAAAAAAAAATTCTTTACTCCTAGAGACAGTTTTCATTGAAGAAGAACTGTACATTTGAGTAGTTCCTCACCAGATATTTCAATGTATATATTTTTTTCAAGCAACTGTGAGGCAGGGAAGGCAGCAACCAGAGGTGAACATTGCCTTCTCTTTGTCTTCAGGTGTGAACTTGGGGCCAAGGAGACACAGATCAAACCCTCCTCTCACTTGACTAATTATTGGCACAGCCTGCACATGGGTACTACAGCTCTTAGTAGCTGGAATTACTCTTTATTTTTGTATTTTGTTATGAACTCATACATTTGAAATATTTTCAGGAGATGGAGGAATATTCATTTCTATTCCTCTCTAAGAGAGAATAGTATTATTTTGTAGAGTCGCTGTGAGGATTGTAAACAATCTGCTCACCTCGGTGACTGGAGTCCTGCAAGAACTTTGCAAATAATGCTGTCTACTGCTATACTTTTTCCAGAATTATAGGGCTTTATAGTTATGGTTATGATTTGTGTGTGTATGTGTGTGTGTGTAGGATCTCATTGCATAGTTCAGGCTGGGCCTAGAACTAAAAATCTTCCTGCCTCTGCCTTCCCAGTGTGGGGTTTACAGGAGTGTACTGTCGGCACCCGGCTGGGTTTTTAAAAAATATTTTATTTATTATGTATACAGTCTTCTGCCTTCATGCCAGCAGAGGGCCATGTGGTTGCTAGGAATTGAACTCAGGACCCCTGGAAGAACAGTCAGTGCTCTTAACCGCTGAGCCATCTCTCCAGCCCCCAGCTGGGTTTTAAAAATATCAGCATGCCATCCTTAGTTTACCTTGCAAACCAAGTTAAACCCACCATCTACTGGTGACTGTAGTTTTCTTTCTTACTCAAGTGAGCTAGCTTTGCTTGGCTTAATCACATACAGACATCTTTGGAATAAGAGAGCTCAGATAGGAGCTGGGCATTGGTGGCTCATGCCTTTAATCCCCATACTCAGGAGGCAGAGGCAGGTGGATCTCTGTGAGTTCAAGACCAGCCTGGTCACAGTGAGTTCCAGGAAAGGCTCCAAAGCGATACAGAGAAACCCTGTATTGCTCAAAAAAAAAAAAAAAAAAAAAAAAAAAAGAGCTCAGATATAAGCCAGCATTACATGTTTCAATTTTTTTATTATAGCGGTATCATTTACTTTGGTAAATTCATATTCCGATTTTAAAATGCCTCGGGGCAAACAAAACTTATTTACAAATTCAAGTACAGCATGTTATACACACAATAGCTGAATAGTGGAATTTATCTATCAAGCTGTTAATTCACAATGCCCAGTACTGATAGTATTGCAGTAGATTACACTAAATGTATCGCTTTACAGTAATCATTGTTGCATAGTACAGTAACCAGTACTTGTATGCACTTCATAGCTTTAATAAAGTTTTAGCATGTAATTATGAATGAAACTTTCCCCCCCTTTTTCCTGAGGTCTAAATCCAGTGCCTCCTGTGTGCTAGGTAAAGCTATGTCACTGTTGTATGGCCTCCATCCCAAAAGAAACATTTTTATGTTTAGGATGCAATTATAGGTCAGATGCTTATGCAAGAAAAAACACTTAATATGCTGTTGTATCTTTGACAAAACAGCATCATTCCTTTTTACTAAATAGATTGTGTTAGGCTAAAAGGAACCCGAGGTAATAGAAAGAAAAAAAGACATGTTAAATCCCTGTATTATATTAAAAGTTACTTAACATAATTTCCTTGTGACTAATGCATATTTACTAGTCAGTATATATACACATATACATGTATACACACACACACACACACACACACACACACACGGGGGGGGGGAGAAAGCGAGAGAGAGAGAGAGGGAGGGAGGGACGGAGAGGGAGGGGTTTTGCTTTTGAAGACTGCACTAAAATGCTAGTGTAGCTATAGCCCTTAGGATACTTCAGCTGGAAACAAAGAACAGTGGTTTATACTCCTTTTTGTTGTTGTTTAGGAAAAAAAGCCTATAGCCATCTAGTGTCTTAAAACAGGTATTTATTATTTAAGGTCTCAATATACCTGCATTAAACAAATAGGTTTTTTCTTTTAATCATTGCAACAACTCATCACTTAGTCACAAACGTATTTTACATCTATGTTTATTACGGTTTGAACAGTTTTAAGACAAGTCCTGCAGACACTCTCAGCTCAGCTAGCAATACTATGCTGTTAGTTCACACAAATGACTGCAAGAACTCCTTCTCCTACTTCACAGAGTACCTTCTCTAAGGCCCATAGCCAACATTGCTCATGTGTCATTTTACAGATGGAAGAGTTCAGATGAGGAGCGGTTGGGTAACTGTCCTAGTCACTAGAGTGACCATCTTTTCAACTTGCTGTATAAGTTTTGTTTGTACAGGTGTGTGTATATAAGGATACCACCTTTACAGTCCTTTCAACAAAGTGACTCTCCTGCAAATCAGACACTGATTCTAAAAGAACTTTAAGATATAGGGCACCCCAATTTTTTAATCATCAAAATAACCTTGAGGTGTGCTCTATACTTCATTCACAATTGCTCACAGATAAACCACTTAATTCCTAGGGTTCAAATGATTGTCTCAAAAGGAAAAATCCTAAGGGAATATTGGGTCTCCTCCTTAAACATTTGTTCCTAATGGCTGTCTTTTTAGAAGTAGAACAAACATTTTAGGTCCAATTGGTCCTGAAACCATGGAGGGTAACTCAGTATAACTCTTCAGTATCCAGACAAGATCCACTATCCTGAGGATGTTCAGCTATTGAGGAACATGGCCGACTTAACTAAGCCACCTTATACTTCAAGTCTCTGATAAAGCTTTCCAGGATAACAATTATTTGTATGATAAATAAACCAGAAACCACACCGAATTTCTGCTTTATTTTTAAGCACCCCCTCTCCAAAAATTAAGCTCACATTTGGAGTCCTAACAACTTTACTTCTTACCATATGTGTTCTCTATAGAGAGCCACAGCCCACAACATCTTAACATTATCCATACATATGGAATAACTCACTTTTGGGGCTGGGTGTCCATCCTAGTGTCACTGATAAAACAAGTACTGTCTTTGGGTTAGTTGGTTGCTGGTGGGGCCTTGATGGAGGGAATGCTACATGATCTTCGCATGATAAGCCTGACTTCAATGTCTGGCAGATTCCCCTGCCTGCTTTGTAAACAGCCTTCATCAGTGGCTGCTAAATGGAGATCAAATCGAAGAGAAACAGACTTTTTCCTCAATCGGGGGTTATCTTTAAAGAACGAACCTTCCCATTCTTTTATAACTTCATCCACTTTCTCTGTCCTGAAATGAGAAAATACACTTTTTAATAGAAGAAATAGACACAATGTACAGTTCATATTTGTGAATAGAGATATGTATAATGTGTAGGCTGTGGGATTTTAAAAATTCATATTTGTTTATTTTGTGTGTGTGTTTTGTCTGCATTATTGTATGTGTACCAAGTGGTCCATGCCTGGTACCCACGGAAGTCAGAAGAGGATGTCAGAACCACTGTGTGCTCTTTACCACAGCCATCTATCTCTCCACACCCTGCTTGTGGAGTTTCTAATTGACACATACAACTATAACAACCATCAGAATATAATCCTTAATATGGAATTCTTAGAATTTCTACACAATTCTTTTATTTTTATTTATTTTCTTTTTAGAAAAGGTCTTGCTATTTTAATTCTGGCTGTTTTAGATGTCACTATGTAGATCAGGCAGGTCTCCAACTCACAGAGATTCACCTGCCTTTTCTTTCCAAGTGCTGGGATTCTACACAATTCTTTTTTGTTTGTTTGTTTTTGTTTTTTGAGACAGGGTTTCTATTTCCTGGAACTTGCTCTGTAGACCAGGCTGGCCTTGAACTCACAGAGATCCAATTGCCTCTGCCTCCCGAGTGCCGGGATTAAAGGCGTGAGCTACCAACACCCAGCTCTACACAATTCTTAAATTCTGATTTTAGTTGTAGAAAAAAGGGTGATAATCCCAGCACTTGGGAGGCAGAGGCAGGCGGATCACTGTGAGTTCGAGACCAGCCTGGTCTACTGAGCGAGTTCCAGGACAGCCTCCAAAGCCACAGAGAAACCCTGTCTCGAAAAACCAAAAAAAAAAAAAAAAAAAAAAGAAAAAAAGAAAAAAAAAGAAAAAAGAAAAAAGGGTGAATTATTTTCACACTCTTATTTGTATTATATGTGTATATTCCTGTCTGTCTGAAAAATCACAATGCATTGATAGCATTTGAAATATTTGAAAAACACTGCCAAGCTGCTCAGTTGAAGTGAATTTCATCATGTTTAATATTTCGTAGTCCAAGCTGTTTTACTTACTGAATGGTGCCGCAAGCCTCCGCACTCTCCTTCACCGTGTTTCCATTTAATACTGCCTGTTGGGTCATTGTCTCCACATTATCATTCTCATACTTTTGTAAGACTTTTGTTGAAAAAGATATTTCATTTATAATGGCTGTGAAAAACGTTACATTAAGTTACAATGTTGAAAAAAGGGGAAATAGAGAAGGGGTGGGGTGGGGGGTGGGATCAAAACGACACTGAAGTACTGAAATTCCCTCTTTTGCTGCTTTGGAGAAGTTTTTGTACAATCTCCACAAATAGCATGTCTATTTTCAAATGAGTTTAGTTTGTGAGAAACTCACCTGAGGGGAGAAGAAAGCCAACTTTACTCTTGGTAGGTTTTTCTTCCTTTTTCTCTCCTTGGATACAGCCATAATATCTGAAATGGAAGTACAGAGAGGTTAGATAAGTTGTCCAAAGTCACCCAGCTAGTAAGTGGTGTATTTTGAATTCAGTTTATGATTTTGAAGGATTTAAGACATGCCAAGGCTTATCACAGGCTAAACTTATTTTGTCTGGTTTTGCAGAAGACTCAGAATTCTGAAACAATCAAGAACAAAGATTTATTGTTATGGGGATATAGAGACCTGGAGGTAATGCCATACTCAAGAGTCTAAGGCCTTATAAATGGTTGTAAAATATAATATTGAATAAGTAAGAATTACTCTGTTAACACCTTTTTATCTCAAGATACCTGAGCCTTTTAAATGTGACTCAGAACATTACTGCTTTCCATGCTTGTAACAGAATCACCTTCTTCTTCTTCTTCTTCTTCTTCTTCTTCTTCTTCTTCTTCTTCTTCTTCTTCTTCTTCTTCTTCTTCTTCTTCTTCTTCTCTTTGAGAAGGTCTCTTGTAATTCAAGCTGGCCTCCAACGTGCTATGGAGCTGGGGATGACCTTGAACTCCTGATCTTCCTGCCTCCGCCTCCCAAATGCTTTGATTACAGGAATTATGTGATGCTGAGAAAACCCTCTACTAGCTGAGCCCCATCCCCTAGCTATAGTAATATTTTGGGGTTCACTGGGGGGAGGGGTTAGGAAAAGATGATAATGTGTGAGTCACCAAATTTCTTTGGCGATGATCTATAAAAGGCAAAAACTAGTCCTAAAAGAAAGGAACAGTGAAGAAAGTAGAAGGCTAAGAAAAGCCTCTTCAGTGAACAAGAATTGTAACAGCCAACTCTGGTACGAACTCCCTGGTTTGAGCAGGCTGGGTGTAGTGGCCATGCTCCCTGGAGGGTGTGCTAATTCCGCTTTCCTATAGGAGCTCAGTGAACAGCCATGGTGGTGGTGGGCTTTATTTTGGATTTGGTTTCTCTGATGGCATCAACAGTGCTCTGTTCATGTGGCCCCATGCCACCTTGTGCCATTAGTGATGTGGGCTTAGGTACCTGAGCTCTTCCTGTTCCAGCAGGCGCCGGTACGTTGCTATTTCCTGCTCCAGCCTCATCTTGGTGTTGAGAAGCATCTCATGCTCTTGAAGCTGCCTCTCGATGCCGCGCCTCACTTCCTGCAGCTCCCTTTCTAGTCTGTCAATCACCGACTCCAGGTCCTGCAGCTGCGTCTGGTAATGCTGCTCACTGGCCTGCAGAGAGTTTTCAAGGCCCCTTTCCTGTGGACAGATCATCAACAGTGAGCCAACGACACAGAGAGGGCTTCTCAAGTCTCATTTGCGATGTTGTCGCCTGTTCCATTCTGCTGCCATCTGTCTGTCTGTCTGTCTATTTTTGTTTTTTTTTTTTTTTGGCATTATCAATCAAAGCCAGGGCCTTGAACAGGATAGGCACTGAGTCACATCTGTAGCCCACTTTATTATTATTATTTAAAGGTTATAATAGTTGTGCTTCACTTATGCAGGAGAACTTTTTCTTTTTGCTATTTGATTTTTTCACATTTATTTTGCGTATGTGAATGGATGCATGTGGAGTCAGAAGACAGCTTTCAGAAATAGTTTTTCTTGTTCCTTCCCGTGAGAATGGGAGATCAAATTCAGGGCATCCGGCTTTTTGACAAGCACCTATCCCTGCTGAGCCATCTTGCCGGCCCCTTTTCTGCTATTTCAGACAGCAGTCTGGCTGGTCTTGAACTTGGAATTACTGGTGTGTGTACCGAGGCCTCATTCATTCTGTAGTTTAATCTGACCTTGAACTAATGGCAATCTTTTTTTTTTTCTCAGCCTGGCTTCCCTTTTTTTTTTTTTTTTTAAGAAAATTATATTTAGTCGCTGAACATGATGACACTCACTTGTAATCATAGCCTATTACTCAGGACGAGGAGGAAGGAGGACTACCAGTTCAAGGCCAACCTCTCAGCAACAGCAACACAGTGACAGCAAGCAAGGGCTGAGGACGCGGTTCCGCAGGAAAGCGCTCGTTGAGCAGGTATGAGGCCCTGGGGTTAATCTCCAGTACTGGATATCTTTTAAAACATGCGTAACTAGATAGCCGTCTGTATTCCAAAATAATGTTGTACTCATTCGTTTGGCAAGGAAAACAACAACAACAACAACAAGAAGTCCTTTACATTGTGATTAGCATACTGTCATTCTGAATTATTTGATTCTGTAAAATATAATGAAGGTCAGAGGTAAAGCAGGCTGCTTATGAAAGAAGCATGCTAGGGGCCGATGAGACGCTCAGTGGATAAAGGTGCTGCTCAGCTTGAGTTCAGTCCCCTGGTCCCTCCTGGTGGGAGGAGGTCTGGCTCACAGAAGCTGTCCCCTGACTTCACATGTGCACGTACATAAACAAACAAATGGAATTTTAAAAAGGCATATTCGGAAAGTGCTTAACAATTTTCCCATTAGAAACCTCAATGGCAAGAACCCAGCTGTTAGAAGACTACAGATAATAACAACACAGATTCATTTTCTCATATCAATAGCCAGGGAGCCCCAGAGTCATGAGCAAGTATAATTGAGTTCCTCTAGGTATAAACTGAGCCTCTGGTGAGCTGATTACAGGCACTGGGTGGGGAAAGAGTGAGGTTCGGGTCCAGCGTTCAGGGGCCTCCACTGCAGAGTGACGGTGTCTTCTTTCCTCTCTGCTGCACATGCTGGGCAGACGCTCTGCCAGCAAGTTGCCTTCCCAAGCCCCCTCCTCTCCCTAAACCACAGGTCTCTGGGGTGCAATAAGCCAGTTTCTTGGGATCTTCCTTACCACAGCGTGGAGAGACTCAATCTCTACTTGCAGGTGGTGGCACTGGCGGCGGGCCTCCCTGAGTTCAGCCTGAGCTGCCTTCAGAGCCTCCTCATCCTTGTCCATTTTTTTGGTTATATCTTCCTCTAGCTGTAAGAAAGTCAACAGTAACAACAGCAAACAACAACACAAAACCAAAACAACAAAAGCAGAACAACCAAAGGGCACTCTTGAAAAGGAGGTCTTCAAAAGCAATCACAGCACAGTTATATAGGAATCAAATCCCATTTTCTTTTCACAATCAGATTTTCTTTTCACAGTTACAAGAGTGTGTTCTGGTGCTTCATTACTCATCAATCAAATGCTTGAGCCTCTCAATTATGCTCTCAGCCCCAATCTTCTCTGATATACAATGGTCTCAAAAGTCCCTTCCAGCTACAGCAGCCCACAAAATACAGAGAAACACATCTGTTTTATGAAGAGAAAGTTTTCAAGACAAATTGGTGACCTCTAAATTTTCACATTCCCTTATGTGTCGATAAGGAAGATTGATTGAAATTCAGTGATTACCTTCCAACATTTTTTTTTTTTTTGGTTTTTCGAGGCAGGGTTTCTCTGTATTGTTTTGGAGCCTGTCCTGGAAGTCGCTCTATAGACCAGGCTGGCCTTGAACTCACAGAGATCCGCCTGCCTCTGCCTCCCGGGTGCTGGGATTAAAGGCGTGGGTCACCAATGCCTGGCTCCAACATTTTTTTTTTGTAGGCTGCTTCATAGAAGCAGATACACAGCTGTACATCCAAAATGGGGGTCAATTCTGGATGCATGGACTGGGAGTAGGCATCTTTAGAAAATGTATTATTACACCAGTAAATTGGAAAATTAAGCTGTCATAGGCACCAAGGTTCTTAAGTGAAATTCTGTGTCGAGGAAACCTTTTTTATTTTTTTCAAAATGATCTTTTTAGAAGGCATCTTAAGTTTGGATATTGGGGTAGTAATAAAAAAGATTCTGAGCCGGGCGGTGGTGGCGCACGCCTTTAATCCCAGCACTTGGGAGGCAGAGGCAGGCGGATCTCTGTGAGTTCGAGGCCAGCCTGGTCTACAAGAGCTAGTTCCAGGACAGCCTCCAAAGCCACAGAGAAACCCTGTCTCGAAAAACCAAAAAAAAAAAAAAATAATAATAATAATAATAAAGGTTCTGTGTGTGTGTGTGTGTGTGTGTGTGTGTCCGCGCATGCATGCTTGCACACACGTGCGCGAGCGCTAGACATGTAGGCATATGCTTGTGAAAGCACAAATACACTAGAGTCAGCCTCTAGTGTGGTCCCTCTGGAGCCACCCTCTTTGGTTTTCTTGTCTTAAAATAAACTTTTTTTTGAGACATGGTTTCTCACTGGAACCCAGACTTGCTGATGAGGCTAGAATGGCCAGTGAGCCCCAGTGTCCATTTGCTGTCTCCAGATCTCTCTGCTGGGATCACAAACACATACCACCAACTTTCACTTTTATATGTAGGTCCTGTGGATCAAAATTACTCCTTACACTTTCACAGGATAACTGAGCTATCTTCCAAGTCCCCCAAAAATGCATCTTAAAGGTGATTTTCTAAATGTTCTCCTATTATAAAAACAATTAGGGAAAGCCGTGCAGCTTGGTAGAATGCCTGTCTGGCAGGCATGGGCAGGGGGTGGTGGTGGAATATTTTTTGTTTTGTTTGAAATGTTTTCATGTTGATGGAATTAAAAGAAAACACCAGTTAACAGCATTAGGATTACCAACATTTGACCTCATTAGGAGCAATGCATTGAGTTGATTTGAAGGAAAAAAAAACAGACTGGCAACTTTTTATATCCTTTTAAATTTGTAAATTCGATTATGTGGTAGATTTTGTTTAAGGGAATCCAGAGTCAATAAAGGTTTGTAAATAAAATTTAGGGCAAAATATGAGAAAAAAGGGCTGGAGAGTTATCTCAGTAACTAATTGCTTGTCATGCAATCCTACAGGCAGGAGTTCAGATGCCCAGAACCTATGTAAATGCTGAGTAAGTATGGAAGCCTGCCTGTAACTCCAGCCTGGGAAGGTGGGATAGGAAATCTCAGGTCTGGACACATCCGCGAGCTCTGGATTTGACTGACAAACCCTCCTCAAATAAAGTGGACGAGTGATGGAGGACAATTTTTGAAACCATTGTGGTCCCCTACCAGCATAGTTCACCCATACTCATGCAAACATGCACACACATACATGTAACCCCCCCACACCACGCAAAAAATGGAAAAAGAAAGATGCTAGAGGGATTTTTTTTCCTTTCTTTCATCAGCTGATCACCACACATTTAGTGTTAACTTGGCAAAGTCAAGCAACCAGCATCTACTGGAGCAACTGTAAAAAAGAACGGAAAGGCTTTTGGAAACAATATAAGGCTATGGGGACACTGGTCTTTTGAATTCCCGGTGGGGAACTGGCAGGTAAACTGTGCGGTAGCTAGAGTCCCAAGATGGTCTCCGGTGAACCACCCCTCCCCAAGTTCACGTCCTGAGCCTTGCTGTGGTAGAGGTGACACTGTGCCCACTCGAGGCTATGCCTTAAGAAGCCTCTAGCTCCCACATTGTGTTTCTGGGAGCCCTGGGTCATCATTGTAGAAGAAATCTGGATACCTGGTTAGAGAGGGTCATGTAGGGAGGCTAGGAAGGAAGGGACCTGAGACTACATGGAGAGGGAAGCAGGCTCAGGATACAATTTTACATTCCGCTGCCAAAGTCCCAAACACATTAATCAGTCACTTGGAGTATGCCAGTCAGTAGGAGCCCCAGGTGACTGCATCCTATTCTGCATTTCGAGTAGTACCAGAGTCCCCGCATCCCAGCCTCCTCATCCCACAGAATTACAAGACAGAATATAATAGCCTAAATTTTAGCTCATTGAGTTTTAGGGGTGACTTTTTATGCAGTAATTGCTAGCTACAGTAGCTATATGCTTATTTTATTTGACTTATTTACATGTTTGGTGCTAGGGTTTGAACCCAGGGCTTTGCCATATGTTGTGGTAATAAAATAAACTTACTTTGTGAATTATTTGGGAAAAACCATTTCTCTCAAGAACCTTTATGTTATAAAGTGTTGCAAACAGAACTTAGGAGAGCTTTGCTTTTAAATTCAAAGTCACTCAGTTCATCATTGGAACTTGTAAACTCAATTTAGGCTTCTACTTTGTAAAATAAAGCATTCATTTGGTTTATAATTTTCAAAAGTTGTCATCTCTTAATATTTTTCCCTGTCATATGAAGGTGAACAAACTTCTCCAATGTCTAAACCAATAGCCAGTGACCTTATTTAATCTAGGGAACTGATCATTCTTTTTGAAAACTTGAGATGTTAGCCACAAGCAAACTCTATGATGATATTCCAGTAAGTTGCTAATGGAACACAAGAAGTCCTATGATTTCTTGCTAATAGTTTTTGTATGGAATTTGAATTGAGACTCGGTCTGAGTTGGCTCTGTTTCACTTATTTTAAATATCTTTAAATATCTAGCATTGTGTCAGAAGTAAACCGTTCTCTTAGTTCAAATGCAAAAAAAAAAAAAAAAAAAGTGGATACTACCCAGCTGGGGGATTTTGATTGTTAGAATTTGTATCCTTGATTCTGAAAACCATGTTCACACACTCAGACGATTCTATTTATAGCAACCAGTATAAAGCTGAATGCATGGAAGGAAAAAAATAATAGAGACCTTTAAAAATATTTTACTTGCGTTTCTCTCCTCAGAATGTGCAGGCAAACAATCTTGACTAGCAAGCTTTCATTCTACAGATGTTATCTAAATTGCTTCTATAATTAACTCCATAATATCTTTGAGAGTGTTTGGAATGCATCTTTCCTGGAAAAAAAATCTAAAGAGGTTGGAGTGCACCATTTTATTGTTTGTTGACTCCATGTTTTAGTAATGACGGTCACCTTATGCTCTCTATAAAATTCCGATTCATCAATCAATATTTATTGAATGGTCATTCGGCGGCACAGCCACAGGGTTTATCTCTGTCTGTCACCCCCAGACCCAGTGCAGAAACACCTACATTGCCTCCCCAGTAGATGCTGCGTGGAAAAGGAAATACTGTACCTCAGAGAGGCCGGGACAGGAATTGGGTAGACATGGACTGTCTCCTTATCCTGAAGGTGCCTGGCTGAATGAAATCATTACCTGCATCCGTGTTGACAGCACCGTCTCTATCTGATTTCTGGTGAGAAGCTGTTCATAGTTTGCCCTGATCTCATTGAGGAGCTGGGACAGCTCCATTCTTTTCCCATCCTCCACCTTGGCTAACTGGACCTTAGCGATAGGATGAGTCTCTGCGGCAGAGCCTGCCCTGCCTGCGTCGCCAGAGCAGACAGCCCCGCGGAGCCTTAAAGATGCAGGGATCCATTTCCCCACCAGAAGCTGGGAAACTCTTGCGTTGCTAATCAATTATGCAAATGTGAGAAACTGTTCGTGCCCACTGGCGTTGGTACACCAGCAACCCCAGAATCTCCAGGGAAGAGAAGAAAATGAAACCCACAGGTCACTCCAAAGGTCCCCTACACGTGAATGCTTTGCCTGTGGGGGGCGGGGCGTTCATTTATTTTGTGGTAGGGAATAGGTCAAGACATTAAGAAAACTATCGTTAGCCAGGCATGGTGGTCGGGCTTGTTATCTTAGCACTCGGTCAGAAAAGGTCTTGGATTCAAGGCCAGTCAGGACTTCATAAGGGAAGGGGTGTCTTGGGAAGGGGTGGGGAGCAAAACTAAACAAAAATCCAACCAAACCAGCACAAAAAGCCCAAAATAAAACACACATTTTATTGTGTATAGATAAAATTGTGTGGGCATTAAACTGGGCTCCAAAAATGAGAGTTTAAATTTTCCCTTTTAAATCATCACTTGGATTTTTTTCTTTTCCTAACAAAATGCTAAAGGAGAGGGGAGGGGGAGGAAAGCAGAGGATAAATGAACACAGGTGACAGCAAAGGGACTGGAGACTGTTTTGGGGAGGAATCGAATCAGCTAAAGGGTTTGGTAGAGGGGCTTGGAGGATTATATGGGCCAAGCAGATTTTCCTTCTGGATAACTGAGAATGAGAAACACGAGGAGGATTAGGTATTTGTGAGTCAGAGGAGAAAAAGAAGAAAGCAACGAGTCAAATATACACATATACATATTTTAATGATTTATTTTAATTTTTATTTATGCATGAGTATGCATGTCTGTGTATGTGTCTGTGTGAGTGTATGCATACATGTGTATTTGGGTACCTGAGGAGACCAGGAGAGGGCATTGGAGCTGTTGGAGGTGGAATCACTGGTGTTAGGGAGCCTCCCCAACATGGATGCTGGGACCTGAACTCTGGTCCTCATGATTAGGCAAAAAGTGCTCTTAACTACTGAACTACCTCTCCAGCCCCCAAATTAAACTTGGCTTAAATTCAGGAGCAAACAAATGCTCCTTTTTATTTCAGATAGCTCCTGCCCCAAACCTAGAGAGCTGAGTTAGACGCAGTGGAGGTCAGTCCTGAGTCTCCACTTTAAGCAGATCTTCAGTATTTCCTGTGCACCTAAGTCAGTGTCCTCTTAGAGAAGCACAAATGTCAGCTACAAATGCAAGCTACGTGTGTAGTTTCAAACACTCCATTAACCGTATCAGAAGATACAAAAGGAAACAGGCAAAATCAATTTTAACAGCATATTTTGTTTAATCCTATATATTGAAAATATAATAATATAAAATACTAGCATTCTTTGCTTTTGATACTGTCTTTGTTATCCAAGGTGTATGATGTATCCCATTTCATTTTGGGCAAGTCACATTTAAAGTGGTCAGTAGGGGCCTGAGGAGATGGCTCATCTGGTAACGTGCATGCTGCAGGAGGGTGAGGGCCTGTGTTTGGATGCCCAGTTCCTACATAAAAAAGTGCGTGTAGTGACATGAGTTCATATCTCCAGCATTGGCAAGGCAAAGCAGGTGGAACCCTGGAACTCATTGTCTAGCCATCCTAGCTAGATTCATGAGCTTCACGTTCAGTGATAGACCCTGTCTCAAAAATAAGGTGGTGAGGGATTGGGAAAGACACCCAACACCTACCTCTGGCTTATAGACACGTGCATACATGTTTAGGAATCCACAAGCACACATGTACATGCACACCAGTAAATAGTGTTCAAGAGTTTGGGGATATAGTTCATTAGTAGACAGCTTGCATAATTCACAAAACAAAGCCTGAAGTCATGGATCTGGAAAAGGATTGATATGGGGATATATAAAGGAATAATAAGAATGAGAAGGAGATAAAGGGATTGGAGAGAGCCTGCAACTGTAGTCCTAGGGGTTCAGGCTCCCCCCTCTGGCCTCTCCAGGTACTGCAGGCACCTGGTACACATAATGTGCAAGCAAACACCTTTACACATAAACATATAAGAGGAAGAGAGAGTAGGTCATGGGGGAACAGGAAGTCTGAGTGGGTGGGGGTAGAATAGGGGGAAGAGGGAATCATAGCTTAGAAGACAGATCAGGCACCAGAGTGACCTCTAGTGATTTAAAGGGATAACACCAATTGGCAAGCTAAGCAATAGTGGAGAGACCACCTCGAATGCCCATTCCTGATAATGAACTTGATGTTTATAACCATCCGGGAGCCTTCATCCAGTGATTAATGGAAGCAGAGGCAAACACACAATTAATCACTGAACTGAACCCAAGAAACCCAGTGACAGAGAGAGAGGAGTGATGAGCAAATTGGCAAAGAATGGGCTGGCAAAACCAGCAGAGACAGCTGATCTGAACAGGGGAGAGCTCTTGGACCCCAGACCAACAGCGGGGAGGCCAGCATGGGACTGATCTGGACCCCCCCGAATGTGAGTGTCAGTGAGAAGGCCTGGGCAACCTATGGGGCCCTGAGCAGTGGATCAGTGTCTATCCCTGGAATACAAACAGTCATAGTGTGCCCATAGCACAAAGAGGGATGCTCTCTCAGCCTGGACTCTTAGAGGAGTGCCTGGACCCTACCCTGAGGGAAATGTCAGACTCTAGATATCCCCTATGTGGAAGGAATTGGCAATAGGGTGGGAGGCTGGGGGGGATGGGGGGGTGAGGGAGGAGGGGAGGGAGAGGGAACTGGGATTGACATGTAAAACAAGCTATTTAAAATTAAAATAAAAAGTGATAAAAAATAAATTAATCTTTAAAAAAAGAGTAGGCCCAGCAGGGTCCTGCCCTTGATCCCAAATAAATACACAGATGCTATATTAATTATGAAACTGTTGGCCAATGACTAGGGCTTCTTATTTGGATAGCTCTGTCTTAATTATTATCCCATTCTATTAATCTATATATTTCCATATGGTCTTGGCTTACCAGAGAATGCGGGACCTGCAACTCCTTTCCTGCTACATGGCGACTGACTCTGCCTATGTTTCCCTGAATTCTCATCTCCCAGCCCCTTGCCAATCAGCCAATCAGTGCTTTATTCATCAACCAATAGGAGAAACATACACAGAAGGGCAACCTCCATCAAAGGAAAGCAATTGGGGTGCATTATATATGCATATGAAGTTGTCAAAGAACAGACTAACTTAATTTTAATGGAAAAAAAGAGGCACAGTGTCACCCATTGAACATAAGATGCACCTCCTTTTCTTCAGGTGTTTGTTTTTATTTGAATTTTACAGTATGTATTTGAAGTTTGAAACATGATGTGCTGGTGTACACAGATGTAGTATCTCATGTTTGTGGCTGAGAGGGGGCATGTGAACTGAGAAACTATAGGAAAAGATGCTAAGGAGGGGAGAAAGAGACAGAATAGAGTCAGGAGGGTAATCCAGTAAATACTGAATGTCCTGAGTTTATTCTTCAACATTCTTACATACCCCCAAGATAAAGACTCCTTTATCAAGATCCTAGCCTTCTGCCCCCTCTCCCACAATGGTGTGCCCTGAGCTTTAGATGGCACATTATGCCTCTTGTTAGGGGTGAGTGCTCATCCATCACTTATTCTCAGCACCTTCTGCACCCACACGTCTCTATACTCACCACCAACCACTAGGATGAGCCTTCTATACAATCGTTAGTTTTTAAATTTGTTTTGACACTGGGTCCTATGTATCCCATGCTAGAACTGAATTTTCTATGTAGCCAAGAATGTCCTTGACCTTCTGCCCGCCCCTATCCTGAGTGCTGGGATCACAGGTTTCTGTTACCTTACCCAGTTTATATGGTGCTAGGGATTGAACCCAGAGCTTGCACATGCCCTACTCACTAAGCTACATCTCCAAGCCAAGCCACTTGTTTTTAAGCATCCAGCCACTCTCTTCCCATGCATCCTCCCATGGGTGAGGTTTTGAAGGTTGGTGACAAGGAGATAGCAGGTAGGTTGTTTATTGGTATCTTCTGCCCAGACTCCATGTGCACCCAGAACCCATTTGGCTCTTATTCCTTTCCTGGGGTACTGTCTAGGGGGCAGTGCACAGTTCTACATCTCCAAACACCCCTCAAGTTTGGTTGGTCCACAGGCTCTCTGATGCAGGGGCAGGATCTGCAGCCCCACGCTTTCAGGCCCGACCTCTCCCATCCCCTTAATCTTGCCTTCTTTCCTCTTAGTGTGGGGAGGCTGTTGTCTGAGGGTGGGATGGGACTTGCTGCTCCTAGTTCTAGAAGCTCCGCCACATAACCTGTGTTACTCCATCACCATGGCATCACCACTGGACCAGGCACAGAGAAAGCAGAAAACGTCTATGTGAGGGGAAATAGTATTTCCACTACACAGTTTTCTGGTCCAGAGTTTCCTTCACTCTGAGACCAAGGCCTGGGAGACTGCTTTGCTTTTGTTCAAATTTCTCCAGAGACAATGAATTCAGAGTAATAATCTTTTATAGTAAGAGAAAAGCTAATCAGAACATCATTTCTAGACCCCCTTTCCATGTATGAAAAAATGCTTTGTCTTAAAACATATGCAATATTAAGATTGTATGTGCTGGGTGGTGGTGGTGCACATCTTTAACCCCAGCACTTGGGAGGGAAAGGCAGGTAGATCTCAGTGCGTTTGAGGCCAGCCTGCTCTACAGAGATAGTTCCAGGACAGTCAGGACTATTACACAGAGAGATCCTGTCTTGAAAAAAAAAAGATTGTAACAGATGATAAGGTTGTTCTGAGATTATCTCATCAGTGATTATATGATTTCAAGTGAGTCAAGCAGATATAGTTAGCTTCTGCCAAGTAATTGGTTGGATCAGGATTTTCCACTTGTAAGTAATTGATTTGTGACTTCTGCTCATGCCTCTGTCCTCTTACCCGAGAGGAAATGTCCTTTGTAGAGGTAATCAGTTTGTGTCTACCATAGTCCCCATCTACTTG